GTGAGGGGAGTGGTGAGGGGAGGGTGAAGGGGTGTGGTGAGGGGAGGGTGAGGGGCGTGGTGAGGGGGACCAGTTAGGGGAGGGTGAAGGGGTGGTGAGGGGGGGTGGGGGAGTGGTGAAGGGGTGTGGTGAGGGGAGGTGGGGAGGGTGAAGGGGTGTGTGAGGGGAGTGGTGAGGAGGACCAGTTAGGGGAGGGTGAAGGGGGTGGTGAGGGGGTGGTGAGGGGGGTGGTGGGGACCAGTTAGGGGAGGGTGAAGGGTAGTGAGGGGACCGTGAGGGGACGTGGTGAGGAGGAATGGTAAGCATTTTATCCACAGGATTGCCAACACGACAAATGAAGCCCGTGTGGATGTCAGAGCTCGATGATTCTGAACGCGGGTATAGCAAGGCTTCTTTGATACCAGGATATTCAATTCCATCGCCACATGTCACCGTGACCTGACTCTCGAGGCTGCACACAGGAGGAGCGTCAATGACAACAACAGGGCGTATACAAAGAGAACCCAGAAGGTTAACCAAGGCAGCTTCACTCCTCTGGTGTTCACAACATTGGGCGGAATGGGACCTAGTGCAAGATGTTTCTATGCCAGACTGGTTGAGTTGATAATAGAACAGAAGCAGCAGCCCAGAAATCACGTAGTGGGCTGGTTGAGGTGTCGCCTATCCTTCTCTCTGCTCAGGTCTGCTCTGCTGTGTATCAGGGGAACAAGACCTTTGGCCCCTAAATCAGCAACAGTCGCATATATACATTATACTAAGAGTCAACAGTCCCTGAATGCCACTTAATTAACTCAGCTTGGGTAGACAATTTTGTATTACGATAGTTAGGTAATAAAATGGTGGCGAAAGTGTGGTTATAAAGTGAGGTTGGAGGCAATTTATACTATTAAAACGTAGTAGTAGTAGTAGTAGCAGTAGCAGTAGTAGTAGTAGTAGTAGTAGTAGTAGTAGTAGTAGTAGTAGTAGTAGTAGTAGGAGTAGTAGTTGCATACTTACGTCATCTCTCACCTTGGCAACGACAGGTAATTTCTTAATTGATATACATTCCGTCCTCACTCACCAAGTATTCACACACACTCTCCCTGTAAATAGCTTTTCTTTCGTGTTTAGAAAGTTAAGGCAATACAAAACTCCCCCAGAGAGTCATTATACTATTAGTGGAGTTTTAATGGAGAGATTAAAGCGAGAGAGAGAGAGCAAAGGGAAGAGAGATAGAGAGAACAAAGGGAGAAGAGAGAGAGAGACAGACAGACTCATATCCTTCTCATATATACAGACAACACCACAGGCTAGGCTGGAGGTGGCGTGGCGTAGGACGGGTTTAGGTGGGAACAGAGGAAGCCAGAATATATATATAGATGAAATACACGAGACCACCAGGAGCACACACACACTCATCTGAGGTGATGTTCTATTATATCACCAGTCTTATCTCTTCATCTTGGGGTGATTCTGTGTTACTTATGGGAGGGAAAACAATAAGATAGGAAAATATACAGCATATAATTCACCGTATTTTGTTTTTTGTTTGACTTGGATTTTGTTTCTTTTTTTTTTTACCTGGAATTTTTCGTTTTTACCTGGATTTTTTGTGTTTTTTCCCGTTGGATTTTTCTTTTTTTAATTTAGAGTCTATGGTTATTGACACCTTGTTGTAATGATGTTTTGTATCAGGTTAGTAAAGTAGGTGTGTCTTTTTTGTTTCTAATTGTATTCGTCCTGACAGCTGAAGTGGTTAACAAGTGGAGGTTAACGTTTGACCATTTACCCACACACAAAACCTTCAATTAAATCCAGTGTAATTGAGTTTTGGAAACGTGACACTGACAACTGCTGAAGAGGATTACATGTGATGGTAAAAGTGCCGTAGAGAGACGTCAGCTTCCACACAAAACCACCCAGGGTCATAATATCGACGACATCACCCACACACAACGACTGCTGACCTCAATATCGTCACGTCAGCTCCCACACACAACCACTGAGAGCCTTAATATAGACGCCTACAGTAAGCTTATGTCATCTCTGCCTCCACTGAACCCCAGAGAGACGGGGACAAAATACAGCAAAAGGATAATACAACACAAACTCCGTCATAGGTCATGTTAAGACGCTTGGTAGTGGAGGCAGCGAGGTGGGTAGTGCTTTTGTCTACCTCGCTTGAGTCTTTGGTGCTTGGACGAGCTAAGTCAAGTTGATGTTTGAGTTTGAGATCAGAGGGAGAGTAACGCCAGGATTATACAGATATTCTAAACTTGATAATGAACCAACCAACACTACCAACACTACCACCACTACCACCACTACCACCACAACTCACCACTACCAACACTACCACCACTACCAACACTACCAACACTACCACCACTACCACCACAACTCACCACTACCAACACTACCACCACTACCCAACACTACCACCACTACCAACACTACCACCACTACCACCCACTCACCACTACCAACACTACCACCACTACCCAACACTACCACCACTACCAACACTACCACCACTACCCAACACTACCAACACTACCACCACTACCACCACAACTCACCACTACTACCAACACTACCAACACTACCACCACTACCACCACAACTCACCACTACCAACACTACCACCACTACCCAACACTACCACCACTACCAACACTACCACCACTACCCAACACTACCAACACTACCACCACTACCACCACAACTCACCACTACCAACACTACCACCAGTACCAACACTACCACCACTACCAACACTACCAACACTACCACCACTACCACCACAACTCACCACCACCAACACTACCAACACTACACAACACACTACCACCAGTACCTTTACTACCACTACCAACACACCAACACTACCACCACTACTCACCACTACGCGACCCTTCCTTTACTCTCTGTAAATGCCTCGTATTTCAACCAACAATGGAACACTCGATGTTGTGTGAGTATACATACAATAATACAATCTCTTTTAGGCAATAATTCCACAGCTTCTCACACACACACACACACACACACACACACACACACACACACACACACACACACACACACACTATTCCCAACGATAATTAATATTTTTCTAGACGACATTCACAGTTGTGTTTCATCTGATAATAAATGTTTGTTTCTTTTGTTTTTCAGATGTTGCTGTGAGAGACATGACCCGGTGGACGGCAAACACAGAGTGAGGTGTAGAGGAGGTCATGTAGAGGTCATCTGGAGGTCATCTGGGGGTCAATTGGGATTAATTTGGGGATATATTGGTCATTTCGGGTCATCTTGGATCATCATAGGTCATCTGGAGTTATCTGGAGTTATCTGATGTCATCTGAGGTTATCTGGGTTCATCTTGTGACATCTGGGATCATCTGGGGCTAATCTGGGCTAATCTAACCTGACCTAACAAAAACCCTGACAGTTGAAGCACGTATAAATCTGATACAACAACATCACTACTACCACCACCACCAACAACAACAACAACGACAATAACACCATCACCACCAATAACACCACAGTCACCACCACCACCACCACCACCAACAACAACACCACCACCAACAACAACGACAATAACACCATCACCACCAATAACACCACAGTCACCACCACCACCACCAACAACAACAACACCACCACCAACAACAACGACAATAACACCATCACCACCAATAACACCACAGTCACCACCACCACCACCAACAACAACAACGACAATAACACCATCACCACCAATAACACCACAGTCCACCACCACCCCTACAACAACAACCATCGACGCCTGGAGCAACAACAGAGGTCAACATTAATAAGTGAAGATTAAAGACCATGAATGAAGACTCCAGAGACTCTTTAATACCGAGGAATACATTTCAGTGTCTAGTGGAGAGAACCAGAGGTCACTAGAGTCAAAAATGTCACTAAGTCATCACAGGTCACTAAAGTTCATCACAGGTCACAAGAGGTTAACAAAGGTCATTAGAGGTCATCATAGGTCACTAGAGATCATCGAAGGTCACTAGAGGTAATCGCAGGTCACTAAAGGTCATCATGTGTCATTAGATGTCATCATAGGTCACTAGATATCAACAAAGGTCATTATAGGTCACCATAGGCTATCATATGTCACAAAATATCAACAAAGATCATTATAGGTCACTAGAGGTCATCACAGGTCACTAGAGGTCACCAGAGGTCAATATGGTTGGCTTACTGGTAACTGATACAGGATGCCGACCTCTCACCTACCTCCTGAACACATTTCGCTGCTGCTCGACCTCCTGCTCACACTACTGACCTCCAATACCTCCTCTACCTCCACCTCCACCAAGGGCCTCTCCATCCTTAAGGTGAGGTATTGATGTTGATGACGTTTTGTTTGTTTATCCGCCCCCTCCCCTCCCCTCCCCTCCCCCCTCTTACTCTGTCACGCGTGTATGTATGTATGTATGTTATGTATTTATGTATGTATATGTATGTAACAGTCACTGGATTGAAGGTCAGACGTGTTGGTATTTCGACGTGGTTAGGTGATGTAATGGCGTATGTGAAAGAATATGTAAGTATGGCGGGACTGTGTGTTGTGTGTGTGTGTGCGGTGTGTGTGTGTGTGTGTGTGTGTGTGTGTGTGTGTGTGCGTCTCACCTAAAGTTAACTCTGTATACATGAATTAAACCTCAAGTACCTACAGTAAATGATAAAACAAACAGTCTATATTAAACCATTATGAATTAAACCATTGAATATTGTTTTAGATTTAATAAACTTTACTAATAACATTTCTCCCCCTCACCCACATTCTCTTCCAAAATGTCCACCTTTGCCTCCTCTTCCTCCTTGTCTACGCCCTTCCTACCTCTACCTCCTCCTCCTCCCACAGTCGCTGAAGGAACCAACACTCCTCAACACCACCATGTCTATAGAACAACACCACCACCTGATGGACGCTGTCGTCACAACACACACCAACATCACCACCACTAACACCATCACCACCAGCACTCTCGACCTCCATGAAGCCTTCCCCAACACCTCCTCCTCGAACCTCTCCATTCTAGGTCTCGAGGGGGAGCAAGAGAGTAACAGACGTGGTAAAATCAACCTGACTCTCCTCAAGTTGGACCTGGATCTATCGAGGGTCTTCTCAAACCAGGAGGCCGTGTCTGAGGACGTTCAAGTGTTCCTCATCTTCGTGTACTCCTTGGCGGCCTTCCTCAGTCTCCTGGGCAACGTGACGGTCATACTTGTGTTGGCGTTCGGCAGGAGGTGAGTCTTGGGGAGGTGTGTTGGGGAGGTGTGTTGGGGAGGGTGTTGAGGAGGAGGTGTGTGTTGGGAGGAGGTGTGTTGGGGAGGAGGTGTGTTGGGGAGGAGGTGTCTTAGGAGGTGTGTTGGGAGGAGGTGTGTTGGGGAGGTGTTGGGGAGGAGGTGTGATGGGGAGGAGGTGAGTCTTGGGGAGGTGTGTTGGGAGGTGAGTGTTGGGGAGGAGGTGTGTTGGGGAGAAGTGTGTTGGGAGGAGTGTTGGGAGGAGGTTGCTGGGGAGAGGAGTGTGTTGGGGAGGAGGTGTGTTGGGGAGGTGTGTTGGGAGGAGGTGTGTTGGGGAGGAGGTGTGTGTTGGGAGGAGGTGTGCTGGGGAGGGTGTGTTGGGGAGGAGGTGTGTTGGGGAGGTGTGTTGGGAGGAGGTGTGTTGGGGAGGTGTGTTGGAGGAGGTGTGCTGGGGAGGGAGTGTTGGGGAGGAGTGTGTTGGGGAGGTGTGTTGGGGAGAGTGTGTTGAAAAAATGGAGAGAGAAGAGAGAGATAGTTGTTGTTTATTGATACACCTGGAGCGGGTTTGTTTATCTATCTGGAGCTTCTCTCAGGTGATTACATGCAACAGGTGTACTGTTTATTAGAGTAAAATATAAATTATACACCTCTCTCTCACACACACTACCAAACACACACACAAACACACACACACCCCCCACACACACTCACACACACCCACACCCCACCCCCCACACACACACACACACACACACACCCACACACACACACACACACACACACACACACACACCCACACCTCACCCACCCCACCCCACACACACACTCTGGAATAAGTCGTTCATGTAGAGTCGGTTTTATATAACTCTAAAATTAGGGTCCGTTTTTGGTCCGGCAGATCATCTGTACGGTGCTACCTCATTAACCTGGCCGTCTCGGATATCACCATGGCAACCTTCTGCATCCCGTTCTCCTACACCAGGTGAGAGGATGTTATATTATATACTGTGTGTTCATTAGGCACAGGAAGATTATAAACAGGTAATCTGAATGTATCTTGTTGTTATGTTTGGTAACCTTACGTAGCATAATTAACCTAACCTAACCCATCCTAAGTTAATCTAGTCATGTGTGTGTGTGTGTGTGTGTGTGGGTGTGTGTGTGTGTGTGTGTGGTGTGTGTGTGTGTGTGTGGTGAGGGAAGGTTTATGTTATGGAGGAGTATTAACTACACGGTCTCTGTTAACACTGTCGTAATTACCATCTCAAAAACTGGCATTGTTGATACATAAATGGGACAAGTTTCTGCCACTCACTTTCTCTCTCTCTCTTTCATTGTACTTCTCCTTTTTCTTCTTCCTTTCTTTGTTCTTGTCCTTCTACCACTGCTCTCTGTCTCTGTCTCTGTCTGTCTCTCTCTGTCTCTCTCAATCTGTCTCTATCTCTCTCTCTCTGTCTCTCTCTGTCCCTCTCTGTCTCTCTCTGTCTCTGTCTTTCTTTGTCTCTGTCTCTCTGTATCTCCCTGTCTCTCTCTCTCTGTCTCTCTCTCTCTCTGTCGCTCTCTGTCTCAATCTGTCTCTGTCTCTCTCTCTGTCTCTCTCTCTCTCTTCTCTCTCTCTCTCTCTCTCTCTCTCTGTCGCTCTCTGTCTCAATCTGTCTCTGTCTCTCTCTGTCTCTTTCTGTCTCTCTCTCTCTCTCTGTCGCTCTCTGTCTCAATCTCTCTCTGTCTCTGTCTCTCTCTCTCTCTCTCTGTCGCTCTCTGTCTCTCTCTCTCTCTCTGTCGCTCTTTGTCTCTGTCTGTCTCTCTCGTCTCTTTCTCTCTCTGTCTCTCTCTGTCTCAAAATCTCTCTCTGTCTCTCTCTGTCTCTCTCTCTCTCTCTGTCGCTCTTTGTCTCAATCTCTCTCTCTCTCCTGCCTCTTTCTCTCTCTGTCTCTCTCTGTCTCAATCTCTCTGTCTCTCTGTCCTCTGTCTCAATCTGTCTCTGTCTCTCTCTGTCTCTCTCTGTCTCTTTCTGTCTCTCTCTCTCTCTGTCGCTCTCTGTCTCAATCTCTCTGTCTCTCTCTCTCTCTCTCTCTCTGTCTCTCTCTGTCTCAATCTGTCTCTGTCTCTCTCTGTCTCTCTCTGTCTCTCTCTCTCTCTCTGTCTCTCTCTGTCTCAATCTGTCTCTGTCTCTCTCTGTCTCTTCTGTCTCTCTCTCTCTCTCTGTCGCTCTCTGTCTCAATCTCTCTCTGTCTCTGTCTCTCTCTCTCTCTCTGTCGCTCCTGTCTCTCTCTCTCTCTGTCGCTCTTTGTCTCTGTCTCTGTCTCTCTCTGTCTCTCTCTGTCTCTCTCTGTCTCTTTCTCTCTCTGTCTCTCTCTGTCTAATCCTCTCTCTGTCGCTCTCTGTCTCAATCTCTGTCTCACTCTGTCTCTCTCTGTCTCCTCAATATGTCACACACGTCATGCAGTGAGAGTATTTTTCAAACTGCTTCTCTTGCATAGTGATGAGGTGTGATTCATAGCTAAACCTGACTGGCTGACTGACTGACTGACTGACTGACTGACTGACTGACTACTGCTGACTGACTGACTGACTGACTGACTTATGACTGACTGACTGACTGACTGACTCACTCACTCACCCACACGGTATAGTCAATATCATACCAAAGAAATATTAATCTTCATTTCTCTCTCTATATATATCAGGCTCAATAACCCCTCACTCCTCCCCCTCACCCCTCCCCTCACCCCTCCCTCCTCCTCCTTCCATCCCCCCCCTCCTCCTCCCCTCACCCCTCCCTCCTCTCCCCTCCTCCTCCTTCCATCCCTCCCCGTCCTCTCCCCTACCCCTCCTCCTCCTCCTCCTCTCCTTCCATCCCTCCCTACTCCCTCATCCCCCTTACCCCTCACAACGATACCGATCAGGTCTAATCAATCCCAGTTTCCAGTCTGTGTGTGTGGGGTGTGTGTGTGTGTGTGTGTGTGTGTGTGTGTGTGTGTGTGTGTGTGTGTGCGTGTGTGTGTGTGTCCTGTACCTGTCGAATTTCCCAATTAAATCAACAAACTCTGAGAAAGAGAGAGAGAGAGAGAGAGAGAGAGAGAGAGAATAAACAACGTAAAAACTATAGACAGAAATAAATCCATAATCATAGACACCACAACTATACATAATCCCTTTAGGAGAATCAGATCCCTTTAAGGTTCTCCCATTATGGTAATCACACACACACACACACACACACTATTGACCACAGGAAAGACCTTGACAATAATAGGCAACGTGAGACCTTGCAATGGTTCCGAGAATATTGAAGAGAAATGTTGTAATCTTTCTTCTCTCCTCCCTCTTCCTCCTCTCCTCTCCCCGTCCCTCCTCATCCTTCCTCCCTCGTCCCTCACTCCCTCGTCTCTCCCCCGTACCTCCCTCGTCCTTCCCTCGCCTCTGTCCCTCCTCCTCTCTCCCCCATCTCTCCCCGTCCCCCTCCTCCCCGTCCCTCTCTCCCCCGTCTCTCCCCACCCCCCTCTTTGTCGTCTGTAAGCCCTCAATCTATCTATATATTAAAGATCAATCTAGTTTTATTATGACTTGATGTCGGGAGGAGGAGAATGTTTTAGTTGTGTCTTTTGTTGTGTGTGTGTGTGAGACCCACCATCCCCTACCACCCCTGCCTCACCCTTTCCCACTACCACCCCACCTACCACACACACTCCCACTATACACACCCCACCCACCTGACACAGCTTGTAATTGAAACTAATTCTTAGAGATAAACAGCTCTGCCAAGCCTCCGATACTCCACACTACAAACTCTTGCCCTTAAGTTAATGATATTTTTCCTTAACTTACGAAATATAACACCGCTTTGGGGTATCTTATTATATACCATAGCCTTCTAATTTGCAAGAGGAATTACTAATATTAATTACGTAACGCAACATAACGTAACGTAATCTAATCCAAACAAGTCCAACGTAACGTAATGCTGAGGATAATGATGATGACGATGACAGTATTGACGATAATGATGATGATGATGATGATGACGATGACCAAGGATTTACGACCTTTTGGAAGAAGAGGAGGAGAAGGAGGAGAAGGAGGAGGATGAGCCGGGTGAAATATATAATATAAACAGGATACCAGATCATGTTCCAGCAATATTCGACATACGATCCAAGACATATACTGCATTTGTTGTTATTCTACGGATTATTTATTTATTTCTGTTAAGACTCACAGGCATAAAGATCCTATCCGCCATGTTGTTTTTCTCTGGTACGACTCACAGGCATAAAGATCCACTCCGCCATATTGTTTTTCTCTGGTACGACTCACAGGCATAAAGATCCACTCCGCCATATTGTTTTCTCTGGTACGACTCACAGGCATAAAGATCCACTCCGCCATATTGTTTTTCTCTGGTACGACTCACAGGCATAAAGATCCACTCCGCCATATTGTTTTTCTCTGGTACGACTCACAGGCATAAAGATCCTCCTAAGGATGTTTACATTACCCTGGAAAGAATATCACAAAAGGGATCTTAAATATAGAACTAAAAGAATGTGTGGCGCGAGGGGAGGGAAGAGGGGGGGGAGTGGGAGTGGGAGGAGGTCACAGGGAAAAGAATGAAAGGGAAGAGGAAGAGAAGACGAAGGAGGAGGAGGAGGAGGAGGAGGAGGGGACAAAAAAGGTCAGAGGAAGGAGAGGGCAACGAAAAGGCTGAGGGAGGAGGAGGAGGAGGTCAGGGATGGGAGGAACAGACGAAGTAAATATAAAAGAGACGATCGCTTTATTAGGTATGACTTTGCTTGGGAGATTGGTATCCCCGCATCCCCTGAGCAACGCTCTTGTGCATTATGCAGAAGACCCGACAGCAGCACCCTTATCCACTACCTCCTAAGATGTCCCCACACACAACGCTTCCGTGACGCCTGCTGGACCACCACTCCACGACCCCCTGACGGAGACACGATGATCCTCCCCATACTGGCCAGATATTATGTAAATAATATTGATTATGTGTTAAAGGAATATCCTTCCTTCCATAGGCTTTAGTAAGCCCCTTTATAATATTTATACTGTGTATACTTGTCACACTTGCCAGATGCTTCTGGTGTCATTGTACAGGGGTAACTAGTGACAGCACTAGGATCCCGCTTCCTCTATCAAGGAATAAACAATTGAAATTGAAAAATTGAATTGACGATCGCTACATTCACTCCACCACTACACAACCTTTCCAGAAAACTGTATCACCTTCATAAATAACCTTTTACTGAACCTTTTAACTGTAACAACAACAAAATACATAATAGAAATATATCCCCAAGTCAAGTAGAAATAATCCTTTTAATTTTTTTTAAATATTCAACTCAAAACACGGATTTTGTTTTTCCCAGGATGACTCCAGGTTAACGAAAGAATACAAACACGTGTATAAATAACTGATTGGTTTTCCCAGGATGGTGGAAATATATGTGTTGATATGATGACTTGCAGTTAATGCAGCCTGTGTGACGCTAACCCCCACACATCCCTACCCCCACCAACCGCACCCCCTACCCCCACCAACCGCCTCCTACCCCAACACCCTACACTCTTCCCCTCCACCCTGTACCCCCTACCCCCACCCACCCCTACCCCAACACTACACTCACCCCTCACCCCATAGATGCCTACCACTGCCTTTCACTCTTACGAGTATTAAAAATTGTCGATTGACTTTGGGAGGAGAGGCACTTTGGCGATGAAGGAGGAGGGATGGGAGTGGAGGAAGGAGGAGGAGGTGAGGAGTGGAGGAGGAGGGAGGAGGGAGGGAGGAGGGGTAGGGAGGAGGAAGTGGAGGTAGAGGAGGAGGAGGGTGGAGGAGGAAGGAGGGGCGGAGGAGGGCGGGGGTGGAGGAGGAGGAGGAGGGAGGAGGAGGAGGAGGCGGAGGAGGGCGAGGGGTGGAGGAGGAGGAGGAGGAGGAGGAGGAGGAGGAGGTGTGTTGCTGCAAGGATAGCGCGAGAGAAGATGAGCACACACACACACACACACACACAGATGTTCTTGGTGGACTCTGGTGTGTGTGTGTGTGTGTAAGTACACTCCCCGAAGGCATCCTGTTTGCAAAGGAAAAAGTTATGAGAAAGGTTTATGTGTGGAAAGATTCTCTCTCTCTCTCTCTCTCTCTCTAGTGCATTAGATATATATAACACCTTCTCTCCGTTTTATTATTGCGAAAGATCAAAACTATATCTCTTACCTACTAAAGATTGGACTCTAGTTGTATATATAGAGTCGGTTCAATAAAGCGCTACTCAACATGAACAAGAAGATTGTTGTAAGATGGTACCAAAGCTGATTACTTCCAGGTTACATCAAAGAGAAAAAGAAAATACGTTCATTTCCAGGTTACGTAAAAGATAAAAAAAATCATAATATATTCATCCCCATTCTGTGACAGGATAAGAACTGAGAGTATTTGTGTCAGTAAAATGTTTCGACCATTAGTTAATATTTTTTCTTTTAACAGAAATACAACTTTCCTAGTGACAGTTAAAACTTTCACTAATATAATAATTTTTAAAACTTTCCAAGACTTTCATAACTAATTCTTTTAATACTTTCACTAATATAGCGCACAAGATCTTACTACTTTCACTAATATAACACACAAGGTCTTAATACTTTCACTAACAGATTACTTTCAAAAACTTTGTTTTTCAAAATTTTCCCCGAAACAGACTCTCACTCTCACATTTTGCTACCATTTATAATCAGCGTGTGTGTGTGTGTGTGTGTGTGTGTGTGTGTGTGTGTGTGTGTGTGTGCGTCGGAACATTTGCAATTTCAGTATGCAAATGTTTCTTCTGGTCTCTGACGTCAGCCCTTGTCATTAATGATCTCATACTGTAATAACATCTGGCTGTCTTTCTCTCTCTCTCTCTCTGTCTCTCTACCTCTTTCATTCTTGTCATCTCCCCCTCTCTCTCTTTATCTGTCGTTCTCGTCATCTCCTCCCTCTCCCTCACCACCCACTAACGCCCCCTATGTTCTCTCCTCAACAGCTTCATGTTCCACCGCTGGGTGTTCGCGCCGGAGTTCTGTAGGATCGTGGCCTTCATGCAACACATGTCCGTCACCTGTAGCGTCTATACCCTCGTCGCTATCGGTGTTGACAGGTGAGGTGTGGGGTAATGGGTAAGGGTAAGATGAGGCAATAGGTAAGTGGGGTGTGGAGTGAGCTGGGGTGGGGGTGTGGGTGGGGTGTGATGTGTGGGTAAGGGGTGGGTGGTGTGGGGTGTGAGGTGTGGGTGTGGGTGGGTGGGGTGTGAGTGGGGTGGGGTGTGGGTGTGGGTGGGGTGGGATGTGGGTGGGGTGTGGGTGGGGTGGGGTGTGGGTGGGGTGAGGTGGGTGTGTGTGTGTGTGTAGGGGTGGAGTAGCTGTAGGGTTAGGGGTTTGTGGAGAATGTGTGGGGGAGAGTGTGGGAGAATGTGTGGGGGAGAGTGTGGGGGAGATGTATATACCACATCTCTTGAGTAGTCTTCTTGATAACATTGTCTTCGGGATTAATGGACCAACGAGACCTAGGCAGAGAGAGGAGGGTGACGATGTCTGTTAACGCCTGCAATGGCAAAGGAGGTGTTTGTTTGTTCTGACGACCTGTGTAATTAAATCTACCTACTCTACCTACCTACCTACCTACTCTACCTACCTACTTACCTACCTACCTACTCTACCTACTACCTTCCTTCCTGCCTACCTACCTACTTACCTACCTGCCTACCTACCTACCTACTCTACCTACCTACCTACCTGCCTGCCTGCCTGCCTACCTACCTACCTACCTACCTTCCTTCCTACCTACCTACCTACCTTCTACCTACCTACCTACTTACCTACCTACTACCTACTTACCTACCTACCTACCTACTCTACCTACTACCTACTCTGCCTACCTACCTCTCTACCTACCTACCTACCTACCTACCTACTCTACCTACCTACTCTACCTACCTACTCTACCTACCTACCTACCTACCTACCTACCTACCTACTCTACCTACCTACCTACCTACCTACCTACCTACCTACCTGAAGCTGTTCTTTCTCCCTCTTTCTTTCGACCTATCTGTCTGTCTGTGTCTCTCTGTTTATCTACCCTTTTCTCTCTCCGTATGTCTGTCTTTCTGTCTCTGTCTGTCTCTTTCTTCTGTTTCTCTATCCTTTTCCCTTCTCTTTTCTTCTCTCTCTCTGTCTCCCACACCAGACACCCTCCACACAGGGGCCTTCGTGTCCACCCCGTAATTACTGAAGGTGGATTGGTCTCATCAATACCTGAACTAACCAACACACACACACACAGAGGCGCCATCTACCTCACTAATTCCAGCTACTCTCTTCAAAACCCTGACCGTACAGACAGACAGACAGACAGACAGACAGACATTTATTTACATGAGGGGCTGGTAATCACGTTATGTAAATCAGTCACCCAAACCTTTCTCTATGCTAAACTATTCATTATACTGGTTTATATATCATAACAAATTAAACCTTTTTATTTATTAGACGTGGGGGAGATAGTGAGACAGAGATAGTCAGAGAAACACACAAACTCATATAGACACTGAGAGAGAGAGAGAGACAGAGAGAGAGAGAGAGAGAGAGAGAGAGAGAGAGAGAGAGAGAGAGAATAATCATTATGGTATAAAAGACACACCTAATTAACTTCCATTAACTACAACAACAGGAAGTGTATCAACAGACGTCTCTTTACAGTTATATAACAGGGACTACCTATAATAATGCCTTAGTGATATATATATATATATATATATATATATATATATATATATATATATATATATATATATATATATATATATATATATATATATATATATATATATATATATATATCGATATTTCTAAAGGAAAGAAGAAAACACGAAGTTCCCAAAACTTTCGTGTAATTCACATCTTCAGGGGTGAGTACAGACGAAAGCGCTTAGGAACTTCGTGTTTTCTTCTTTCCTTGTAGTTGTCAACTATATATATATATATATATATATATATATATATATATATATATATATATATATATATATATATATATATATTTATGTATTTCATGTAGATCCACAATGAAAGCGTGGTGCTCCATTGTTTCCCTTTTTCCTGTGTGATTTTATCAAGATGTAGTGTAGTGAAGATAATAGCTGTTATTTATGTGGCATTATGTGGCTTGTATTATTATGGTTAATATACTGTACCCTCGCCCCCCTCACCAGGTACAAGGCGCTGATACACCCCCTCAACACCCGGTGGACCAAGTCCCGGGCGAGGCTGGTCATTGGCTGTATCTGGGTCTTCTCCGTCGTTATCTCTCTGGTGCCTCTCGTTGTCTCCGATTCTGAGAGATACGACTGGGATGGAGAGTAAGTGTCACTGGAGTGTGTCTCTCTATCTCTCTTTGTCTCTGTGTCTGTCTGTCTGTCTCTGTCTGTTCCACCTGTTGTTAAGGGTAAGTATTCTGTCAATTTATATCATCTATATGTGATCTATTCCATGGTTGTCATCGTGATTATATTGGTTTCCCTGCCGTGTTTTCCTCCCCCCAGTGTCTTGGTGTTTCCCTTTGCCCATTACCACATCACTTATCACCCCATCACCCATCACCCTATCACCCATCACCCATCACCCCATCACCTATCACCCCATCACCCATCACCCTATCACCCATCACCCCATCACCCTGTCACCCATCACCCATCACCCTATCACCCATCACCTATCACCGCTCACCCATCACCCATCACCCTATCACCCATCACCCCATCACCCATCACCTATCACCCCATCACCCATCACCCTATCACCCATCACCCCATCACCCTGTCACCCACAACCCCACACCTCTATTCATAACCCTACATACATCACCCATCACCCCACATACGACACCCACCCAACACACCCACACACCCACCCGACCCCACACCCATCACCCGACATCTAGGTAAAGGCGGAAGGAAGGAAGGAAGGAAGGAAGGAAGGAAAGCAATTCTGTACGTTGCGAGTCAAACTTAATCTCTTCATGTTGCAAGCAGTCACGTACCTACAACCTCTGCATGTCAGCCCCAGGCAACATGCAACTTGATGCTCGTTGCAACCAGAAGCTCAGGAATTCTTTGACCTCCCCAGAAAGTATAAGAAGTGCAGGTCTTGTAAAGCGGTGAATCAAAGTGACTTAGACACTTGTCAAAGAGGATTAATTCAACGTGTGGCCTGACCTAGTTATGGTAATGTTAATACCTGACAGAGGAGATATTGTGTGGGTGTTGTTCTGTAACTTATGAGGGCTGCTGTAACTCATAAAAGGACGCCGTTACTCATAAAGGGCTGCTGTAACTCATAAAAGGACGCTATAACTAGCTCATATCGTTTTCCACCACCTACCACCACATACTACCACCCATCTTCACCATATCCTTCAACAACAACCACCACCTACGACCAGACACCATCATCACCACCACCATTCACCACCAGACACCACCACCATCACCACCATTCTCACCACCATCCCTCACCACCACCACCACCACCACCACCACCATTCACCACCAGACACCACCACCATCACCACCATTCTCACCACCATCCCTCATCACCACCAGCATCATCCTCCCAGCTTCAGTTTTTCGCCTCTCTGGACTCTGAAAAAATCCCAGGGTAAAAAATTATATTCCCTAGTGCCTCCAGGTCCGGGAAGACCAGCCTCATATACCACCACTAAAATCTTGCTTCACTAGACAACAGCAGTCAGTAGTATATTACGCCAGTTAGTGGGATATTGTACCAGTTAGTGGGATATTGTACCAGTTAGTGGGATATTGTACCAGTTAGTGAGATATTGTACCAGTTAATGGGATAGTGTACCAGTTAGTGGGATATTGTACCAGTTAGTGGGATATTGTACCAGTTAGTGGGATATTGTACCAGTTAGTGGGATATTGTACCAGTTAGTGGGATATTCTTATTACAATATTCATCTTATTCATTATTTATCATCACGTATCGAAGCCCAAGACGAAACTAATTTTTCAAGAATTGGTGAAGCTTGGTGACTCAGGTATCGAAGCAGAGGGGAGGAGAAGCCTTGAAGACAGTGGCTGACGTAGAGGGTACCTTTCAGTGCCATCCTGTGTGTGCCACTTTGAAACATCTTACACACGCTGAGGTTGAGGCAGCCCTTACAGACACTCTCTTGTCATTACTAGGTCGAGGAGGACAAAGTCAGCCACTAGGTGACTCAATCCTCGAGGACGGCTTGAGTGAGATAAACCTCGATGGGAACAATGTGTGTGTGTGTGTGTGTGTGTGTGTGTGTTGATGAAAACGACTCGAAAGATCCTATTTACTCCCTCCCTCCCTCCCTCAGTCCCTCCCTCCTTCAGTCCCTCAGTCACTCACTCTCTCCCTCACTCTCTTCCTCCCTCCCTCAATCCCTCCCTCCCTCCCTCCTTCAGTCCCTCAGTCACTCACTCTCTCCCTCACTCTCTTCCTCCCTCTCTCCCTCCCCCACTCCTTTCCTCCCTCTAAGGACTGTGTGTGGTGCAGTGCTGTTCTGTTTGCTGACAGTGGCACACACACACACACACACACACACACACACACACACACACACATGGAAGGCCTGAAGGGATGGAGAATATTATGTTTACTATTGTCAATTGTTGAATGATGGGCGTGAGTGTACCAGCCTGTTCTTGAGGAGGTAGTAGTGGTAGTAGTGGTAGTAGTGGTAGTGGTGGTAGTGGTAGTGGTGGTAGTGGTTGTGGTGGCAGTGGTAGTAGTGGTGGTAGGTGGGTGGTGGTAGTGGTGGTAGTAGTGGTGGTAGTGGTAGTAGTAGTGGTGGTAGGTGGGTGGTGGTAGTGGTGAAGTAGTGGTAGTAGTAGTGGTGGTAGGTGGGTGGTGAGTAGTGGTGGTAGTGGTGGTAGTGATGGTGGTGTAATTATGAGACATTTATAACCTCTTCAGTATGGGAGTATGAAGATGAAAGTGTCTCCTGATTGGTTAGTTGAGGAGGTGATGGGCTTAATCAGCGTGGACCTAACATGTCTAATCAGTGAACAGGTTGATTAAGATTCGCCCTTTTCATTACCATAATTAATTGGTCCATAGATTTATCGTCGAGTCTGGCTCTCTCTCTCTCTCTCTCTCACCCCCAGATGGTACTAACTCTCTCTCTCACCCCCAGATGGTACTAACTCTCTCTCTCTCACCCCCAGATGGTACTAACTCTCTCTCTCTCACCCCCAGATGGTACTAACTCTCTCTCTCTCACCCCCAGATGGTACTAACTCTCTCTCTCTCACCCCCAGATGGTACTACGAGTGTAAAGAGAACTGGCCTAAGACGAAGAACGAGCTGTATGAGAAGACGTACACGGTGGTGCTCTTCGTGCTGACCTTCGCCCTGCCTGTGGTGGGTCTGGGCTACACCTATCTCTCTATAGTGGGGATGATGTGCTCCTACAGGATACCGGGCAACGCCGAGCCCTCCAGGGACCAGCAGCATCTACAGGCTAAAGTTAAGGTGAGGAGGAGGGTGTGAACAAGGGAGAGTAGGAGGAAGGAGGGAGGGAAGGAGAGAGGGAGGGAGGGAGGAAGGGAGAGAGGTAGGGAGGGAGGGATGGAGGGAGAGAGGAAGGGAAGGAGGGAAGGGAGGTGTCTCTTTGTTGTTTTTCTTCATGGTTGAATTAGTTTCCGCCCTTAATAGCTCCTCCTCCACCACCAGGTCCCCCTCCACCACCAGGTCCTCCTCCACCACCAGGTCCCTCGATAATATGATCAAACTTTCATATCTTTTTCCTCACGAGATTCATAACCCTTCGTAGATTTCCTCATCGTTTATTGATCATATTCAACATTTACCTCACTCGAAATTGATAAAGTTTTAGGGGAGGTGCGGGGGTGGGGTGGGGGGGGTTAAGTTAGGTGAGGTGGTTGGGGTTGGAGGGGGAGGAGGATTGGGGCTATTTTTTTTCCCACGTAAATAACTGATCAGCAATATACACCTTCCTGACTCACACCTGTCCAACCCCCTGTTGTTTCTGCCCAGGTAATCAACATGATGATAGCCGTGATGGTGTGCTTCGTGCTCAGTTGGTTCCCGCTTCAGGTGCTTCAGTTCCTCATCTACTTCGCCCCGGATATCACACAATGCCGGGGACACGAGTGCTTCACCTATTACATGAGCTTCTTCACCTGTCACTGGATAGCTATGGCCAACTCCTTTATGAATCCCTTCATCTACTGCTTCATGAGTAACAACTTTAGGGTGAGTTGTGAATATCTGTTCTTGTTGTTGTTGCTTTTGTTGTTAGTATTGTTGCTGTTATTGGTATTTTTATTGTTAGAGTCATTTGTAGTAGTAGTCGAAAACTATTACGAACAGGTATAAACACACACACACACACACACACACACGCACACACACACACACGACACAACACAACCCAACACAACACAACACAACACAACACAACACAACACCAATGTTTCAGGTTATGATTTTTCGATACAGTAGTTAAGGTCAGGATGGTGAACTTTACCTTTTTTACTATTGGATATTGATCTCTGTCTCTCTCTCTTCCCCCTACGTCTCTCTTCGTCCATAAAGGGTTCAACCATCGTCCATAAAGGTTAACCCACTGTCCATTAAGGGTTCATTAAAGGGTTAAACCATCACCCACAAAGGATAAACAGCTGTAACTAACCAACATTACTAATTTGGTCTATAATGAAACAGTAAATACAAACACACACACACACACACACACACACACACACACACACACACACACACACACACACACACACACACACACACACACACACACACACACACACACACCCCCACACACACACACACACACACACACACACACACACACACACCACACATCCTTCGTACTCAACCAAACCTAACTAACCTAACCTAACCTAACCTAACCTAACCTAACCCCACAACCTAGCACAACCAAACCTAACCTAACCAAGCTTCAACCTAACCAAGCTTCTTCTAACCCTGCTTTAACCTAACCTAACCAAACCTAACCTAACCTAACCTAACCTAACCAAACCTAACCTAACCAAACCTAACCTAACCAAACCTAACCTAACCACACCTATATATCAGGTTAACTCACGCCCATATCATCTGTTTCCCCGCATCAGGAGGACTTGTGTCAGTTCATCAGGAAGTGTGGTCGAAAAGGCATGAGACGCAACCACTCGAACCCCTGGAGTCGTAGTGAACTCGGCTCCTCCTTCAGATCTATACTCTACATAACCCACAAGACTTCTGGTAAGTTACTCAGTTAGTATGTCAGTCAGTCAGTTAGTGAGTGAGTGAGTGAGTGAGTGAGTGAGTGAGTGAGACGTACATAATCAAGTACTTTTTGACTCACCCAGCTATCCACTCACACAAAAAACGTACATGCATGCATATACACACACACACACACACGTACACATACCTCACATACAGACAGACAGACAGACAGAAAGACAGACAGACAGACAGACAGACAGAGAGACAGACAGAGAGAGATGGTAAAAGTGTACCTGGCGTCTGACAGCATTATGCTCTAGGAGTGACACCTTCCTCTGTTGACTCTTCAAGTTTACCTTCAAACTTTAGGAGTTGTTGGATCATGTGTGTGTGTGTGTGTGTGTGTGTGTGTGTGTGTGTGTGTGTGTGTGTGTGTGTGTTTCCTCTCACAGACACTCCTTGCTTGCCCCATCAATAACCCAGGACGGCTAACTCGCCCCCATCTGGGGAGGAGGAGGAGGAGGCTGTGAGAAACCTACCCAGGGCGTGACACGTCTGGGACTTAGCTACGTTGTTCTTCACCTTTTGATGATATGAATTAAGTACTATAAGCTACGGAGAGAGAGAGAGAGAGAGAGAGTTTAGATTTGGGTTTGGTCTCATGTTATTGGGAGGAGGGATCGGGGAAAGGTAGGAGAGGGAAAGAAGGGATGGAGGAGAAGAAAGAAAGGAGGAAGGGGGAGGTGGAGAGAAAGAGGTGAAGAGGGACGGGAAGGGGTAATGTGTTTATATGTCAGGTTGAAGAGAATATAAGTTCAGGATATTTTTATGGTCTGTTTTTGGCTTCTAGCCGCAACACATTTGTTTCGTCACACACGCCTAAGAAAGGAACCTCTGCTCCTTATCGGTGCCTCTTCCACGCCCCACCCACCTACCGCCACCATGCTCACCCACCACCTACCGCCACCCATGCTCGCCCACCACCTAACCCTACCCACCACCCACGCCCACCCACGCCCACCCACCATCGTAAAGCCTGGAGGACACTACATAGGACGTCTTTTTGTGTGTACCTTGAGTGACCGAATCTGCAGTCCCACACACCTTGACCGCGTCTGGGAGGAGCCCAACTGACGGCCACAAAATAACTTCTTTCTTTACTATCTTTCAAAACTTCTTATCTGGTGAAGTAAACCAAAAATATTGGTGTCGTGTGAAGTTCTAGACACATAAGCTTATTTTACCTGATGGTTAATGTCCTAACGTTACCTGGGGATGGTTTAGGTTAGGTTATGTTAAGTTAGGTTAGGTTTGGTTAGGTTAGGTTGGGTTAGGTTAGGGTGTTTATTCCTCAGGTGAAATAATCTGGGGTGGCTGAAAAACAAAGCAGAACCTAACCTAACCCAAACAGTGAGATACAATGCCCCAGCTTGATTTAAACGAGAAATAGTTATCGTACGACCAGTCATCATCGTACAACCACAGTCATCATCGTACGACCACAGTCATCGTACGACCACAGTCATCGTACGACCACAGTCATCGTACGACTCTCTGAGAGTGTCTGGACCCTGGCGAAAATCACATGATCAGAGGAACACGTAACGTGGCTTGACTTACATTATGGAGAAGAACTAACGGCTGATGAAGAGACCTGCTGACCACACACACACACACACACACACACACACACACACACACACACACACACACACGAAGACAGAGAAACAGACACTCAGGAAGACAGATAGAAATACAGAAAAAACAGACATAAAACAGACACACAGACAGACAGACAGACAAATAAGCTATTATAAGAGGAAGGACATGAAAAAAGGTTAACAGACATTCCCCTCAACCTCCACCAACCACCCCACCTGCCACCCCCACACGTACCACCTGTAACCCCCACCACCCACACCCACCACACCACCCCCACCTGCCCCCTATACACTTTGATACAGGAAGGTCAAACAAGGTCAAGGATAATAATGATGATGATGATGATGATGACAACGGGAGGTCAGGGGTCAAAGGTCATTTAATAAAGTCTCTTCCCCGTTGTGTGTTGCAGTTCAGAGTTCGAGCAAGATGAGTTTCCGCGCTAAATCGGACAAACAGAGAGAAGGAGAGACTGTGGAGCTTCAACACATACGGGATGGTCAGGTGAGTGTCTGTCTGTCTGTCTGTCTGTCTGTCTGTCTGTCTGTCTGTCTGTCTGCCTGTCTGTCTGTCTGTCTCTTATTGTTGGGTGTCTCTTTGTGTTTGAAGGTAACAGCTACAGTGGAATATTTAGGTTACAGTGGTGAAGATAGATACATTCGATAAGGTTAATTAGGTGCAATGGTAAGGTAGATTGGACAGGTGAGTTAGATATAATGATAAAGTTAGATACAATGATAAGGAACGATACAATGAGAAAATTAACTTACTCTCTCGCTCTCTCTCCCTCTCTCTCTCTCTTTCTCGTTATGACAGTCACCTCTACGAACCTCGAGGGAAGCGTCTCCTGCCCTACGGAACTCCATGTCACCGCCTAAGCTGCCTCCGTTCACCTCCATCAATCCTAGGAAAGGCAAGCTGGGTAAGTGTTATATAACCTAACCTAACCTAAACCTAACCTAACCTAATCCAGCATAATCCAGGTAGCGTTAGGGTGTTTAATCATCAGGTGAAATAAGCTTGGGTGCCTAATCTTCACTTGAACCGAAGAAAAACACAAATTAAATGCTCGGTTGTTTATTGTAACATCGTAGCTTGTAAATGAAAAAATAATAATTGTTGTAAATGTCTTATCTTAGAACACTTGATAAATATTTTACAGTATTTACAAATCCCATTCGTGTAAATAAAGTCTTGTGTTTTTATGAAGCAGAAAGTTGTTTGAAGGTGAAGAAATCTGAAGCAAAATCTGAGGCATAAATATCTATCATGTCTCCCTGTTGTGTCCCGTCAGCTGTGGCGACCCTCTGCCTACAAGACGTCTCTCCGAACATCTACCTAAACCAACAACACCAACTACAGTACCTTAACAACCACCCCGTCAATCACCGCAGCAGCTACCGTCACAATAACCACGACAACCACCACAAAAATCGTAACAACCACAACGAAGGCGACCACCACCACTACCACCATAATTCTTCTGGTTTCTTCAGTCGTCAGCTCAGATCTCGGTGTAAGGGAGGTACCACCAACGAGCTCAGTGACAAGGTCTCGTTATCTGCTGAGTGTCAACTACGAGACGAGAACGATAGGAGAAAATACCACAACACAACGACAATGCTCGGTAGTTGTGGTTCCTTGAGTGAACACAAGGAGGTCGCTTATCGTGTGTGCAGTGCCAGAACTAAGGACAAGAAGCAGTGCCGAGTGAGTGCCGCAGGGTGTTCGAGTGCTGGGAGACGTAAGAGTGAAGGGTGTCCTAGTGTCGTAGAGGAGAGCCAAGACCTGGAGATAACAGGTAGCTTGAACTGTCTCCACGGCCGTCCCCTGACGCTCGAGAATGGCGTCTACGAGGGTCTTGATCTGAAGGGCGGCCACCAAGGCACCTCCTACTCATCCTCAGTGGAATGATTTATCACTAGACGAGTCCCTGGTGCTCGTATACCTAACGTCGAAGGCGCTGAAGGGGAGGGAATGAAGTGTCAGGACTAAATAAACAGGTGTTATTGATGCTCCTAGTGTGAGTGAGTGTGTACCTGCGCGTCACTCCTTCAACACACTGATCACCAACCAGCGTTACTCACCCAAGCTCAAGTAATGAATAACTCCACTCATTAAGATATATACGACAAGTCATATAAACAAAGACAAAAAAACACTCAGATTTTAAATAATTATCTTCTAAAATCTGGGTATATTTTTTCGATGACTGTTTATATAATGTTGCATAAAATCAGATATAATTCCTAGTTATATGTGAGTCTATTAAGAAACTATTTTTGGAACAAGTGTCTGAGATAGAGTTTTATCAACAGGGTAAACTAAAACCTTCTAAAAACAAACAATAGTATTTAGATGTACAAATACTCAATTTATATAGACTGAGTCACAATTTATATATAAACACAAGAGATGAAGATATATATTAAAATAAGCTCTCTAACAGGGAAGATGTTTAAGATGTTTAGATTTTTACTCACTTATCAGATGTTTATAGACGAAAAGTAAACATTAACTCAGTATATTTCCTATCATGGCCGTGTGGTGTTTTCTGATGTGTTTATGTGTTAATATATGTTTATTGATGTTATTTCCTGTTTACTAATAATGTTTACTGTAGACAAAGGAGACTGTGTTTATTGTTCATGGTACAATACAGTGTTTGCTTCATTGTACACTGTAGATATGACTTAATTAAAGGTGGGGGGGTAATGTATGGTGCAGTTGTACTATAGTGTTTTAGTGTGTGTGTGTGTGTGTGTGTGTGTGTGTGTGTGTGTGTGTGTGTGTGTGTGTGTGTGTGTGAGTGTGTGTGTGTGTGTGTGTGTGTGTGTCCGGAACCAACATGAAGTCGATTAGATACAGGAGGGGGGGGGAGATAAGGAGGGGTGATAGAGGGAGCAGACCAGATCTAACCCTCAATCTCTTGCGGAATATCACTGTCAATTTGGTCTGTCTGTCTGTCTGTCTGTCTATCTGTCTGTCTGTCTGTTAGGTACATATACTAAGGTGTTTCATACATCGTATGTATGTGCGGGTGTATTATGTTGCTCAAAACTCAGGCTCTTAAGTTGTCTGTGTATTAAAGGAGTTAATTGTGGTGTAGTATGGACGCTGTTGTAATAGAGGTGAAGCGCTTTGTAAATAAAGACTAATAATTATTTAAATGTTTGCTCTCTCTCTCTCTGTCTCTCTGTCTCTCTGTCTCTCTCTCTCTCTGTCTCTCTCTGTCTCTCTGTCTCTCTCTGTCTCTCTGTCTCTGTCTCTCTCTCTCTCTATTTAACTTTCTTTCTTTCTATCTCTCTAATTTGTCTGTTCTTATTTGCTTTCCTTTTATAATTACTGTATATCATTATTATCATCTTTATTATTAGTATTAGTTTATTAAGACTATTATATAATAACCTTTAAATGATCATAATTACTTCAATATCTTATTTATTTTAACGAGACTTACAAATTGTTTCATGTAGTCTGTCTGTCTCTTGGTTGTCAGTGTACATTTACCCTCTTAACTCAACCCTGAAATATGATCAGTTATTGTGAAGTAAATCATGATGTAACCCGTAAATATATTCTTAACCTAACCTAACCTGAATCAACCCAGCCACCCACCCATCATCCATCATTTCACCCACTCACCCAACTATCTCACCACCCATCATGCCACCCACCAACCCAACCATCTCGCCACCCATCGTGCCACCCACTCACTCACCCATATCCTCACCACCCCACCCCACCTGTATCTCACCACCACCACCCTACCACCCAACCCATCTCCACCACCCATCATTTACCACCCTCCCTCCACCCACCCCGTCTCACCACCCACCCACCCACCACACAACCATCTCACCACCCACCCCCACCCACAACCATCTCACCACCCATCGTACCCACCCACCCCACCCCTCCACCCCACCACCACCCACCCACCCCCACCCATCTCACTTACCCCAGCGCGCCTGCTCTTGGCTGGGTGAGATCCCAGCATGCGTGACGTCACCAGGCCAGTTGTGCCACACGTGTAGTTGTTGTGTTGTGTCGAGGATAAACAACAACAACAACAACAACAACAACAACAACAAACAATAAATGTCTTTGTAAAATGATTTCACTTGTTTATCTATCCTTATGTTACGTCAAGTTAAGTTTGGTAAAGTTAGATTAAGTTAGTGTGAAGTTAGGTTAATTTAGGTGATCCCAAGTTAGGCTTAGGTTAATTTTTAAGTTCGGTTAGGCTACTTTATGTTAGGTTAAGTTCTTTTACGTTAGGAGATTCTAAGTTTAATTAATTCTTAAGTTAAATTAGGTTGAGTTATTTGAGGTTAATTTAAGTTTAGATTGAGATAAGCAAAGGTTAAACATTGAATGGACACGCTGGACAGAATTCTTAATGAAGCCATAAAAATAAGGTCATTTGACGTGACCTCTGACCTAGTGTAGAGGTAAGGGTCAGGTAAAATAACTGTATACAGCATGAGAGAGAGAGAGAGAGAGAGAGAGAGAGAGAGAGAGAGAGAGGTACAGTTATAATAGCCTCCTTGTATTTCCCTCATGACCACTATAACATGTACACTACCAGCCACTACTAGAGCCTCAAGAGGTTCATACAATGACTAATCCCCGTAACTCAAGTTGTAGGAACACACTAAAGTTTTTGAATTCAGTTGAAACGTAAAAAAAAAATGATAAAGAGGGTATTAGATAATTATGAGACTATTAATAATTCGATATGGTCATTTAACAGCACTAAAACTGACAATAGTAACGTGTGTGTGATAAGAAGTTACGAACACTACCCACCGTCGACTGAGGTCCACCAGTCGACGACAGGTGAGATGGCTGGACGGTCAATCAGGCACCTCACTTTTTATTATTTATTTATCCCATACTTTTTCTCGTGTAATTATTAACAATATGAACGACTTTAAATATAACTGTAGATACTAGATTAAGGTTCACGGTGAAAATAATGAAAGACACTAAACAGGGTAAACTTGAGTCAACATTTTGTCAAAGACTTACCTGCGAATTGGTGGATGACGTTCAATTCAATCACTCCTCTGGCGCTAATTTTCTTCACAAATCGTTTAATACTTAACTTGGTGTATACTCTAGATTTTTCCTCGTGTTGCTAGTAATTGAAGTAATGTTTCACAATAATAGTTAGTCGTATCGTATCTATTTCACAAGATAAAACAAGTTATTGGATATTGTAAACACACACACGAGTAATGTTACACAACTTCTGGGACTTGTCTTGCGTCTCAGTCGTCCAGAAGTAGTGCTACAAAGTTTTGGTTCTCGTGTAAAAAGTTTTAGAAATATTGTAATTTTTTCTACTCTAAAATGTTAAAAATAAACATATATTTTTTTCTAGAACTTGAAAATACAACCAAGTTACTTAAAATAAATTCGGTAACCATTGTGTGTACTAGCGATCTCTTAAAGTCTTGTATAAAATAATCATACTCAAAAGACAGCAAATGTTTAAAGATTTTACAATGTATAATATGTCTTGGTAGATACATGAACTGCGTATTCATAATATACATCAGAATAATTATTTGTATGTTAGTTAGGGAGACGCACCGTACTTTTGTGGAATTAATTCATAGTTTTTTTTGGCCATGAAAATACTGAATGTTATTGTTTGATATAATTGGTAATTTTGTTTTCCTTGGTTATAGATTATTAAGTTACATAGTACCACGGTGTACCTAGAAGTACCCTGGTGTAACTTACGATGGTGTACTAGCTGTACCAGCTCTGGAGGCATACAGTACACAACGTTTTATACCCCAATAGTTCAGGTATTTCTTCTCTGACTCAAAATTTACCTGGAACAAAAGACTGAAGTAAATTTATGTAAAAAAACAATAATAATTTTTTATCTTTAATACAATTTCAATGCATTAAACCCCTGTCATTATCCGGTAATAAATATTGTGTAAAATTTCAACTTTACAAAATTTTAGAGGTAAACGAAAACTTTTTTGGGGGAACTAATTTAACCTCTGCTTTAACCTCTGATGGTTAAATATTTTAGAACAATGGCTGAAATAGGATAGTAACACATACTGGGTGGCTGTATATATGTATGTAATGTAGTTTTAGAGAAGATATTAACATAAAGATAGAGAGATAGACAAGAAACACTCATTAAAACACGATAGGATTTAGTGTTTTCTCTCTCTGGTGTGAAGGCAGGGAGGAAATACTCTTGTCTCCAACCTGTGCCTAATTTGCATACCACACCCTTACAATAAAACTCCTGTGTCAGGCTGATCCAATAGTCAGGCTGTTTTCATTAGCATACATCGGTGTTAACGAGGTAAAAATAGTAGTATTCTTTTACGAACTGACAGACTTGTTTTCTCAGTTGAAAATGTTTAATATTTTTTCTTTCCATTTTGTCCAGAGATTAAAAAAAAATAGATAATTTATTCTTTAATTAACCCTAAAACGAGTGGAAGCTTTTTACATAAACTGTTTATTCTGATGGGGAAAAGATGAGTTAAAAAAATGAGTAACGTTATGAAATTGTCTTTGGAAAATGATAAGTTTATTTAGAATAAATTGGTGTAATTAGACTTTATGTAAGCTTAATGAGAGCCATGAATAGTGGGAGGGAAGATAGTGCTATGTTACCAGGAGGTGGGGGTGGAGGGGCTAAGGGTGGCACGTGTTCTTGTTGTTGTTCTTCTTCTTCTGTTCTTGTTCGTCTTGTTGTTATTGTTGTTGTTGTTTGTGTTGTTGTTGTTGCTGTTGTTGTTGTTGTTGTTGTTCTATTCTCGTATGTCCAGCCTCTTGTGATGTTCAATTCAATAAAATAAACCACGTATAAATGTTCAACCAGGAAATTAAAACACCTTAGAGTTTTCTTCTGCATTTATTAAACATTTCAATACAGTGTAAATTAACTGATCATATTAGTGCTGTGTGAAGTGACAGCCTCTAGGTGTTACCAAAAACAATTCTCACTTTTAATATTCACAGACACCACTTAAGGTCCAGGTGCTAAGTGTGGGAGGAGTGTCTCAAGTGGTGATGTAATGCCAACTTGTTTTATATGTATTAACTTAACTCTGCTGGTTTAATAATAGTAAAGGTTAATTAATATATAGTAGTACCTTCTATAGTCTTGAATTTCTCTGTATATTACAAACTCAATTACTGTAATGATGCATAAACTGTAATTATGTATTCTTGAGGACATAAGTGTAATGGTGACTCCTAATTATGTTACGGTAATTATGAAATGTAATAATCAGGTTAGTTTTATTCTCACTTGGAGGATCAGTTTATCTCGACATAATTACTGAGAGAGACAATTGTGAGAGACTGAGAGATGTTTTTAATAGTGAGGAAGAAATGGCTTTAAGCTGTGCTAGTGTGTCTAGTAGTGAGTCAGGTCTGGCATGTATGGAGCTGCCTGACTGATACAAGAGTTAAAAAAAAAGTCCCATTGATGATAAAATTACCATAGATAATATTTAACCCCAAGGAAAATATTAAATAAACAAGACTACATAATATAGGTGATTGGTGAAGGTGATATAATTTTAACATGTTATTTAACCTGTGTATTATGAACAGTTTATGAAATAAGGAGGAGAAATTAAGGAAAAGGATTGGTAAATAACTTTATAATATTAATAACAAATTCGAACAGTGAACTAATCTTGGCTGAGGTAATTTTACTGTATATGAATTCAATTAACAAATGTATAATAATGGAAGTGTCCAAGCCTCCGTCAGTAGTACCTGAAGGTGGTGTTCTATTCAATTATCAGCAAGGGGAGTTCTAGCCCTTCGTCAGTAGTCTAGACAATTCCGTCAAGAACCATAGCGCCTCCCCCACACATCACCGCCTTCGTCAGTAGCCTAGGGAGTAGTGGTGGAGGAACCATAAGTCATCTCCTCTGAGTACATGATGTTGTGGCCGTCAGGTTGGTGGGCGGCATACATGCACTCTTCGTCAGCCATGCCAGCAGGGTCCTCACACACGTAGCACACCATTCCCTTCTTCTCTACCTGTAGGAGAGATGAGGGGCTGGGTGAGAGGTGGTGGAAGAGAACAGGAGAGGAGAGAAGAGAAGAGAAGATAAGAGAAGAGAAGAGAAGAGGAGTCTTTATGGTACTTTTTTCTACATCTCTGAAAACAAATTTGCATACCAAGTTTTATGCGTCTGGTTTTTGGAGTCAGGTCTTGGTGGGTCAGCGGCCTCTTAAGAATGTCTTATTACTCTCTTACCTTTTATCATCTTACTCTCTGTTGTGGGCTTCTCTCTCTCTTATTATCTGTTTGTACGTCGGTCTGTTTCTGTCTTTCCCTTTTTATATTCTTAATTACTATTTCTACTTTTATAATTCTTCTCATTTAATCTCCTCTCCTTGCCCCTCTTTCTTTCTTTTTTCCTCCTTTGTCACCTATGCATCTCCTCACTTCCCTTTCCTCTCCTTTCTTCTCCCTTCCTCTCTCCTCCTCCTCCTCCTCCCTCCCTCCTCCCTCCTCTCCCCTTACCTTTCTACATGTTCTGTCCTTCTTGGCAAACTGAGTCATCATCTTGGTCAACTGGGCATGAAGTGTCCTGGTGATCTAACCCATGGAAGCTGTCTAGGGGCACATGTCCACACCTGTCAAGTAATGGTAGGTGTGGCATTGTAGGGTTGTAGTAGTAGGTGGCATTGTAGGGTTGGGAATGGTAGGTGTGTCATTGCAGGGTTGTATAATGGTAGGTGTGTCACAGGGGTTGTAAGTAATGGTAGGTGTGTCATTGTAGGGTTGTGGGCAATGGTAGGTGTGTCATTGTAGGGTTGTAAGTAATGGTAGGTGTGCATTGTAGGGTTGTAAGTAATGGGAGGTGTGTCATTGTAGGGTTGTAAGTAATGGTAGGTGGCATTGTAGGGTTGTAAGTAATGGTAGGTGTGTATTGCAGGGTTGTAAGTAATGGTAGGTGTGTCATTGTAGGGTTGTAAGTAATGGGAGGTGTCATAGTAGGGTTGAAGCAATGGTAGTGTGTCAAGGGTTGTAAGTAATGGTAGGTGTGTCATAGTAGGGTTGTAAGCAATGGTAGGTGTGTCATGTAGGGTAGTAATGGGAGGTGTGTCATTGTAGGGTTGTAAGTAATGGTAGGTGTGTCATTGTAGGGTTGTAAGTAATGGGAGGTGTGTCATTGTAGGGTTGTAAGTAATGGGAGGTGTGTCATTGTAGGGTTGTAAGTAATGGTAGGTGTGTCATTATAAACAAATTTCATTATAGACGTGTTAGTGTGTTGCTTGAAATTGATGACAAGTGAGAATATAAGAAATTAAAAACAGCAAAACCTCACACACACACATACACACACACACAGACACACACACACACACACACACACACACACACACACACACACACACACACACACACACACACACACACACACACTAAAGAGGGACGATAGGTTCAAATTGGACTCCATGAGGACGATGGGAGATTCCTAGGTGAGAGAGAGAGAGAGAGAGAGAGAGAGACTCACTCATTATAGGTAAAGTCATTAAGAGGTGGACATTAATTTCCTGGTAAGTGGCGGTGGCCTGACCTCCTTATATCACAACAGGAAGCGCGATACTTAATTATCGTCTCTCTCTCTCTTTCTCTCTCTCTCTCTCCTTTCTCTGTCTTTTTCCCTCTCTCTTTCCTTTGTATTGTTTTCCTCTCTCTCTCTCTCTCTCCCTCTCTCTCTTTTCTTTGTATTCTTACCCGCCCTCTCTCTCTCTCTCTCTGTTTCTCTCTCTCTGTTTCTCTCTCTCTGTGTCTCTCTCTGTCTCTGTCTCTCTCTCTGTCCCTGTCTGTCTGTCTCTACTTAATTAACTTCTCCACCAACACCGTTATAGTGAATGAGGGAAAGATTATGGTATACACACACACACACACACACACACACACACACACACACACACACACACACACACACACAGACACACACACACACACACACACACACACACACACACACACCTCAACCCTGCTCTCCCTCTCCCATCACCTCCTTTTACCTACCCCTCTTCCCCTCTCACCTACCCCTCTTCCCCTCTCACCTACCCCTCCCCCCGCTGCCATAGTGTTAGTCCGTCTTGGTTACCTGCCTCATCTGGTCACTAATTATTTATCATCACCTGTGTTAGTCTCTCTTAAGGTGATACGACCAGCCAGCCAATCACAGCCCAGGAATCCTCTAAGAACACGACCAATAAGCTGATGGGAGAATAATAATAGTGGTATCTTTTCCCTCTCTTCCTCCTCTCTTCCTCCTCCTCCTCCTCCTCCTCCTAATCTTTCTTCCCCTCTCCTCTTCCTTCTTCTCCTCCTCACCTTTCTACTCCTCCTCCCTCCTCCTCCTCACCTTTCTTCTCTGATGGGGACTTCTGGTGGTCGTGTCCGTCGTCGTGGTCGTGGTGGGACTCGAACTGGGGGTCGTGTAGGCCTAAATCATCGTGGTGGTCGTCGTGGTGGTCGTCGTGGTGGTCGTCGTGGTGGTCGTCGTAGCCAGCGTCAAAGCTCTCATACCTTGACTCTGCTCCTTTGACATCAATGTAGGGGTCGTACTCTGAACCTAAGGGGTGAGTTAAGGGGTAGACAGACAGACAGAGCACAGACAGAAACATAGACAGACAGACAGACAGACAGACAGGCAGACAGGCAGGTAGACAGACAGACAGACAGACAGAGCACAGACACAGACAGACACATAACAGTACCGTTTATCAATATTCTCATCAGGGACAGCTGTTGTCTCTCCTCCATCATGACATTATTGTAGGGTGTGTGTGTGTGTGTGTGTGTGTGTGTGTGTGTGTGGCCTGTGTGTGTGTGTGTGTGTGTCTGTGTGTGTGTGTGTGTGTGTGTGTGTGTGTGTGTGTGTGTGGTGTGTGTGTGTCTGTGTGTGTGTGTGTGTGTGTGTGTGTGTGTGTGTGTGTGTGTGTGTGTGTGTGTGTGTGTGTGTGTGTGTGTGTGGTGTGTGTGTGTGTGTGTGTGTGTGTGTGTGTGTGTGTGTGTGGTGTGTGGTGTGTGTGTGGTGTGTGTGTGGTGTGTGTGTGGTGTGTGTGTGTGGTGTGTGTGGTGTGTGTGTTCTTGTGTGTGTGTGTGTGTGTGTGTGTGTGTGTAACTGACTCACATATATACACTGTTATTTAAGGTGATGTATTTTGCAGCATGTTATGACTCTCTCTCTCTCTCAGCCCTCCAGGTCAGGTCAAGGACTCACCATCAGGGAAAGGATCGTATTCCCCCTCCTTGCCGAAGTCCTTCAGGCCACTGTGGCGGGTGTACACGTCGTCCATCCGGCTTTGGACACCCGGCTGGTTATGGTGCTGGGAGTGCTGAGCCGACCTGCTCATTAAATAGATAAATACTATATATATATATAAGACTTCTCATTAGATCTCGTAGCTCTTTCTCTTTCTCTCTCTCTCTCTCTCTCTCTCTCTCTCTCTCTCTCTTTCAGTCTCCCTCTCACAATAATACTTGTAAACACTTGCTCCTGTGGACATGGCAATCTGGAGTAACTGTCAACACTACATCTCTCTCACTGGTCTACATCTCTCTCACTACCGCATTCTCTACCATACATTCTCTCATACTTCATCTCTCTCTCATCACATGTTATCTCTCCCTAATGGCTCAAGCATTCTCTCTCTCATTACTCCAAAGACTTCCACCCAACACCTCCCTCTTCTCTACACCAGGTCCTGTCATCGGCTCCACACACACACAAAAATATTACTTATGAAGGTGAACACTGTGCCATTTCTCTGTTTGTTGACATATCACACAGAATAACGACGAGACAAGGATAAAAAAATATACCCGGTAGAGGACGAGACGAAGGGGAGGGTTTATATCGTGTACTGTATTGGCACTTGAATAAATAACTGTGTTGGGGGGAAAACAAAAGAGAAACGTTCCTATACTGTGTTGAATATTTGAGTCTGTTAAAAAAACAAAAGAGAAACGTTCCTATACTGTGTTGAATATTTGAATCTATAAAGAACAAAAGAAAAACGTTCCTATAATCTGTTTATTATTGAGTCTATAAAGAAAACAAAAGAGAAGCGTTCCTATACTGTGTTGATTATTTGACAACTTGTAAAAAAAATATCTTGTCTACAGTCTATTGATAAAAGAGGAAGGTTTACCGCTCACAATATTATGGAAAAGTGTGTTAGCTGTTAGAGCCAAAGTGTACCTGAGTTCCGTATCTGTGTTTATCTTAATTGTTTAATGGCTTCTGTTTAAAGGGATGAAAGCTGTTGGTGTGAGTTGGTTTAGCGATGATGTGTACTGTATGTGTGTCCTTCGTCCTGACCCTCCCCCACCCCCCACCACTCCCCCACCCCCCACCACTCCGCCACCCCCACCACTCCCCCACCCCCACCACTCCCCACCCCCACCCCCCCACCCCCACCACCCCCCACCCCCACCACCCCCCACCCCCACCACTCCCCACCCCCACCACTCCCTGCACCCCACCACTCCCACCCCACCACACGCCCCCACTCCCCACCACTCCCCCACCTCCCCAACAAGACCCAAAACAAACATTAATCATCAAACTTAAAGACTCTTAACTGCCCACAACACGGGTAAAGACCACACATCACTCACCTTCTCAACTACCACACACGAAGAGAGAGAGAGAGAGAGAGAGAGAGAGAAAATGTGTTAATAGTTGAAGTTAAAGATAGATAGATAGAGAGAGTTGAAATTAGAGATACACATACAGTACACTCCTTCCTTCATACCTTGACGCACTCATTAACACACACACACACACTCACACACACACACACACACTCAGTCACACACACTCACTAGTACTCACACTCACCAGTACTCACACTCTCTCTCACTAGTACTCACAGAAGCTCTCACTAGTACTCACGCTGGGGAGGAGAACTGGCCATAGAAGTCATCATCATCATGGGGCTGATAAGAGTTCTTGGTGTAGAGTGATGACGCTGAGGTGACAGAAGAACCGCTGCTGAGAGAGACAGAGAGAGAGAGAGAGGAGATAAACAGACAGACAGGCAGACAGTCAAACACAGACAGACGGACAGAGAGACAGACAGACGCGTCTAAAGCTTCAGTAAATCTCTCCACCAGTCAAGAAAATAGGCTATTATGTGTAAGACCTGAGGCGTCACTGACAGACCTAACTGTCTGTCTGTCTGTCTGTCTGTCTGTCTGTCTGTCTGTCTGTTTGTGTCTGTCTGTCTGTCTGTCTGTCTGTCTCTCTCTCTCTCTCTCTCTCTCTCTCTCTCTCTCTCTCTCTCTCTCTCTCTCTCTCTCTCTCTCTCTCTCTCTCTCTCTCCACACAAATTTGTAATAAAATGTTTAAAAGTGATACAAATATTAATACATTAAATGGCGGACGCGGAAAGTCTATGAAATACCAGATAAACTTTTTATTTATTTATTTTTTCGTGTAAATATTTTTCCAAGTATTTTGGAATGTAAAAATTGAGCTCTGTTTAGTAATGTGTGTTTGTATGTATATATTGACACACTCACACACACACACATTACTGAGTGCGCGCGCGCGTGTGTGTGTGTGTGTGTGTGTGTGTGTGTGTGTGTGTGTGAGTGTGTGTGTGTGTGTGTATATATATAATATGAAATAAAGACACAGGTTCAGGTATAGAACGATGGTTAGGTGACACTGCTGCACTAACCACCAATGACACTGGCAGCGGAAGTATCAACAGAGGAGGAATGACAGGCTGGCAGGTGGGAGTAATGCTGGGATCGGTAACGAGGGGAGAGAGAGAGAGAGAGAGAGAGAGAGAGAGAGAGAGGAGTGTGCCTAGCGTGGTCTGCCGCTTGCGTCATGTGGCTGCAGCAGATAGAGAGAAAGAGAGGAGATGGTAATGGTGGTGGTGATGGTGGTGATGGTGGTGGCGGTGAGGCTGTGTGGTGATGGGAGCACTAAAGGATCTACGGTGTATTTCCTCCCGCAGCATCAGAGCGGGAGGAGAGGAGTTATCTTGACAGGCACAGCATCGTCACCAGTTTATGTAGTCAGGTCTTGGCAGCCATGCGGTTGCGACGATGGGGTGGCAGCCTTCTTCTTCTTCTTAAGCCTAACCTAAAGACTCACCTGGGAACGTAGACGGGGCTGGAGCGAGTCTCACTACGCTTGGACTTGTGCCCCGAGGGGTGAACGTCAGGGCCCTGCTGGTTGTGACTCCCTCGACGGCTGTTGGCGTAGGTGGAGTCCTTACCTTGCCTGGTGCTGTGGGAACAATGCTCAGAGAAGCCGCCCTCCTCATCCTTACACACCTGTTAATAATAATAATAATAATAATAATAATAATAATAATAATAATAATAATAATAATAATAGCAATAATAATAATAATACCATTACCACCACCACCACTACTACTACTACTACTACTACTACTACTACTACTAATAATAATAATAATAGTAGTGTTTAAACTATCATCGTTAAAGGGGTTAATATGTTCTCTATGGTAAGACTATTTACCTTACACGTCATACCATCCTTCTGCACAATCTTGCAAGGGTCGCCTCCTCCTCCTGCGGCCTTCCCCTCCCCGGTGTTCCTGTAGTGGGTCGCTGGGCGGGACTCTGAGCCGCCGTCGTGTTGTTGTGTTTGGTAGTGGTCATCCTGTTCACGCTGAGGCATGGCTGTCTTCATACTGAGGGCGTGATGGCTGCCTTCATACTGAGGGCGTGATGGCTGCCTTCATACTGAGGGGCGTGATGGCTGCTTCATACTGAGGGGCGTGATGGCTGCCTTCATACTGGGGGCGTGATGGCTGCCTTCACCTGAGGGGCGTGATGGCTGCCTTCATACTGGGGGCGTGATGGCTGTCTTCATACTGAGGCGTGATGGCTGTCTTCTATGCCAGGGGCGTGATGGCTGTCTTCATACTGAGGCGCGGCGGCTGTCTTCATACTGAGGGCGTGATGGCTGTCTTCATACTGAGGGGCGTGATGGCTGTCTTCATACTGAGGGGCGTGATGGCTGTCTTCATACTGAGGGCGCGGCTGTCCTCCATACTGAGGGGCGTGATGGCTGTCTTCTACTGAGGGCACGGCGGCTGTCTTCATACTGGGGGCGTGATGGCTGTTTCATACTGAGGGCGTGATGGCTGTTCTTCATACTGAGGGGCGTGATGGCTGTTTTCATACTGAGGCGTGATGGCTGTCTTCATACAGGGGCGTGATGGCTGTCAAGTGATCATACTGCCGGGGTGACTCCTTAATGGTACTGCTCCTACAGGTGGAGGTAGAGCAGTGACGTGATCTGGGAGGCGTGAGGCGGGGTGGGGCAGGTCTGGTGGCGTGAGGGGCGGGGTGGGCTGGTCTGATGGCGTGAGGGCGGGGTGGGGTTGGTCTGGTGGCGGCTGAAGCGTACGTGGCGGCTCCTGGGGGACCTGTAGAAGGCAGGAAGGAGAATGTACTGAAGGATAGAGGGTTGGAGGATATGAAGCCTTGTTCTGATGGGTCACCTCCTCTTCCCTCCTTCAGTTTAGCTTGAGAGTGCTGCTGTGTTGACGCCGCCCCATTGTCCTCCCCCGAAGCTTCCAGAGGCTCCTACACCCAACCCACTGGAGAAGCTGTGTAGTGGTGAAAATGGTGCCTGGTGAGCTGGTGACCCGAAGGAACCCAGACCTCCTAAGTTGGTAGCACTTGCCTGTAGACCAACATCCTGGGAGAAAACAAAGAATAAATGTTCATCTGGTTAACGTTATAAGGTATTACTTTATCCTTCAACAACAGAGATCTTCAACCACGTAATTGATCGGTAACTTATACTAGTTTATCGATATTTAACCTCAAAGTAAGAGTATCATGTTGATGTGTTGTGTCCACTATATCACGTCAAGGCAGGTTACGTTAGGTTATATTAGGTTAGGTTAAGTTGTGTTTGTTTTGATTATGTTAGATAAAGTTCGGCTGGTTAGATTAGGTTACCTGGAAGAAGTGTGAGAAACCAATGTCCTGCATGAAACCTTTATCGTCCACAGCCTGCTGGGGGTGATGGTCTGTTCCTGAAGCCTGCGCCCTACTCCACCTGCACCACTAGGAGCGACCTGCAACGTTACATAAAGGTTGAAGATTTACGTCAGAATTATTTAAGGTAAAGTTACTGTAGAATCTATTGACATAAAACATCTTTTGGATCACCTGAACATTAGCTCCACCTTATCTCACCTTAACATCAGCAACACTAACGATTACCTTATCTAGTCTAATCCAGATCATCACTACACACCTGTACTCGGCTCATCAGCGTCCCTACCTGTCCGGCGTGACTTACCTGTGTAATAGATGGGGTGCTCATGGCCACAGTGCCCGGCAGGTGAGGGTGATGAGTGAGGGCCAGAGTCCACATCACGAGTCCAAGTACTCCCGTCCATCATCACTTATCACGAGTCCTTAAGTGAGGAGAATGTTAAAATGGTTGTATAAAATTGTATAATCTATTTTTTACATTTTCTTTACTTTCTTTAATTAATTCGACTTTCTTTAATTAACTCTACTTTTTCTTATTATTTACCATTTCCTTGATTCTCTAAAATTTCTAATTATCTCTACGTTCTTTAACCTTCTCCATTCTTTCTCTTTAACTCTCACCATTTTCTTCAACGCTTTCCATTTCTCATAAGACAGCACACACACACACACACACACACACACACACACACACACACACACACACACACACACACACACACACATCCATTTATCTTTCACAAGGAAGAAGGAAAAAAAATCGTCATTACTGAAAAGAGAATCAAGTTTAATCAATTTTCCCAAGATAACAATGAACTTCCCTCCTCACCACCCATTCCCCCTCCCCACCATTCCCCCACTCCCCCCCTCCACCCCACACACACACACACAGCTATGAGACCTAGACACGAGAATTGCAACTTTGCACAGAGACTCTTGGAGGGATGGGAGGGGGAGAAGGCTAGGGGAAAAACGGATCATTCTTAAGGCCAGGAAACCGGAGATGAGTGGAGGTTAAATGTCCACTCTGACAACTAGAAGTAAAATGAAATAGAACTTTACGACGTTGGGCAGGTGATGACAGACGATGCAGCTGGTTTACTGTAGTTATACTGTAGTCTGTCCTACCTGATAGTCCCCCCCTCCCCTACCTCCTGCCCTTACCTGGTCTGTTTATTTCACCTGACGCTACCTGAGTGGTGGGTTAGGTTAGGTTAGAGAGAGGGAGTGAGGGGCTTACAGCGAAGGCGGAGGAGGGGAAGGACAGACAGACAGACAGACAGACAGACAGACAGACTAATACGCAGTTCCTGACAAAAACAGTAACTCCACATAAGGTCACACAGTTACAACCAACAAACATAACCAAATAACCACAACGTCGCAAAATCCATGGTGCTAATTACTACACCTGTCACCTGTCTTGACCACACAGGTATATCAAGAAGATCCAATTTTGATCTTATTTCACCACCACCACCAAGCATTAATTACTCATATGTATGCAGATTGCACTATGCATGTATGTATACTGCTATGACGTTACTATGTATACTGCTGTGACGTTACTATGTATACTGCTGCAAGATTATTGTGTAGGTATACTGTTCGCTTAATTAACCTAACTGAACCTAACCTAAGTTAACCTAACCTGCTACTGAAAGGTGTAGGTAAGGTTGTGTAAAGTGATGAATAACTTGAAAAAAAATGAATAACAAGGAATAACAACATAAGAAAGAGTAAATAACATATGAATAAGTTACATTCTGTACAGCACTTGATTCAGTCCATCGTAACACAAAAATAAATCCCTTGTAAAAAAGAGTGACACATTTTTCATAACTCTTAAACTGAGCAAATACAAAGATTAAATCATTTCCTGCAGTCAACATTTCCTGAACACGTGTTTTAAATAGCTCAGTTGGGGGAAGGTGTATTCTCATTTGCTGTACTTAATTTTTGTCTCCTAACTGGTGCTTCAGTAAACATATCTTAAGTTCAGAGGAAAATCTAACGTGTGAACCCTTTGAGAATTCTAGCCAAGAATTTCTAACATATTTAGGCCAAATCTAGTCTTCTGGAAACAACTGGAAAAAAGAGACGAGGGAAATATTGGTGTTTTCTCAGACTTCTATAAAAGAGTTTCGTGTCGAAATTCTTAGGTGAAAACATGTGTGTAGAAATGAGTGTGTGTCGGAAGCATTGTTGTTGTCTCAATTACACATGGACCCAGAATGTGAGTTACTCTATTACTTAGTTGAATATAACTTCTCCCTAATGTAACTTAACCTAATCTATCCCTAAACTAATTTAACTACACTCTAACGTAATCTAAGTTACTCTAACCTAATTCATTCTGACGTAACTTAACCTAACCAATCCCTAACTTAAACTAACTCCCTAACCTAATGTGGTTTAATCTAACATACCTTACTCCTTAACTAATCCCTATCTAATCTGTCCAATCCCAAACTAAAACCAATAAAAAATAACAAAGTTTAAGTGGATTAGCAACAGTTAGCGAGCTTGTTTACATGGGCGAGGCGACGTTCTCTCTCTCTCTCTTACTCACTTACGACAGTCATCATAAACAAATTCAAATCATTTAAATTATTGAAATATTCTGACTTCTTTACCCTATGTTGATCTTTTAAAACCCAACCAATCAATAGAAATAGCCATCCCTCACTCACTCATGAACCAACCAATCAATGGTCGTCTTTATCCTTCACCACCATGGAACCAACCAATCAATGGCCGCCTTTTATTCTCACTCACTCATGAACCAAATCAATCAATGGGTCAGCCTTATCCTCACTCACTCTGAACCAACCAATCAATGGCCGCCTTTATCCTCACTCACTCTGAACCAACCAATCAATAGCCGCCTTTTCCTCACTCACTCTGAACCAACCAATCAATGGCCGCCTTATCCTCACTCACTCTGAACCAACCAATCAATGGCCACGTCCCCCAATACACACCTGGATGACGTCAGGTAACAAAATAACGACCACACAAAATAAAAATACTTTCAGATGCAGATATAACAAGCGTCAGTCACAGCAACACAGCAACACAGCAACACAGCAACACAGCAACACAGCAACACAGCAACACAGCAACACAACAACACAGTAACACAACACAGCAACACAGCAACACAGCAAATACAGTAACACAACAACACAGCAACACAGCAACACAGCAACACAACAACACAGCAACACAAATAACACAGTAACACAACAACACAGCAACACAGCAACACAGTAAATACAACAACACAGCAAATACAGCAAACAGCGCAACACAGCAACACACAGCAACACAGCAACACAGCAACACAGCAACACAACAACACAACAACACAGCAACACAGCAACACAGCAACACAGCAACACACAGCAACACAGCAACACAACAAATACAACAACAACACAGCAACACAGCAAACACAGCAAATACAGCACACAAATAACACAGCAACACAACAAATACAGTAACACAACAACACAAAAATACAGCAATACACAGTAAATACAACAACACAGTAACACAACAACACAGCAACACAGCAACACAGCAACACAGCAACACAGCAACACAGCAACACAACAACACAGCAACACAGCAACACAGCAACACAGCATTAATAAACACAACAGGAACTCACA